GGCCTAATCTCCTTTTTGACTCATCAGTTATGAGCTGGTTCTAATGTGACAACAATGAGTTGAGTTGACCTATAATGATGGACAATGACTAAGGATGACAGAAGAAGAATTGATGCCTTTGAGCTGTGGTGTTGGAGAAGAGTGTTGAACATCCCATGAACGGCCAAGAGAAACAACAAACAGCTATGTCTTGGAGAGGGCGCAGCCAGAGTGCTCCTTGGAGGCAAAGATGACGAAGCTTTCACTCACATACTCTGGGCATGTTGCCAGGTGGGGCTATTCCTTTTAGAGAGGTTCTTGGAATGGTGGAGGGTCGGCAAAGAAGACGACCCTCAACCAGGTGGACTGACATGGTGACTGCCACATGGACCCTTCAGATAGGACTGGGCTAGGGTTGTTATGAGCCATACTCAACTCGACAGTACCTAACAACAACAACAAAAACAACAACATAATGCTGGATGCAAACTGTGCGACGTGTTCCCCATTTTTCCTTACCTGACTGTGACTCCTTGTCAAAAAGTATTCTGTGATCCTGAAAAGTTCCGGAAGCTCTCCCGGCTCCAAGAGCAGCCAGGGTCAAAGATATCAGAAAAGTAAGTAGTCGAAGGTGAGCAGACAGACTGGAATTTAGGATTTGTTAAAGCATTGAAATGGCTGTCGCTTTGAAACTTTACGACAGTATTTCATTTCTAAATCAAGGCATGCTGTTGTTGATCATTGAACTGAAACCAACTCTTAGCTGCCTTCCCGTGGGTTCTCAGAGGCAGTAAATCACATGGGAGGAGACTGTCCATCTTTTCCCCATGGATTTGGACCACTTGCCTTTGATTGGCAGCACAACTGGTCCCCACTAAGCCACCAGGGCACCCTAAATCAAGAAGCATTGCTGGTTTTATGTGCTGTTGAGCGAACTACAACTCATAGCAACCCTACAAACTAGGGCTCTGGACCCTGCCCTGTCCTGAGCCAGCCTCAGCCTCTCCAGTAGTCTCTCTGGACACTTAGCCCGTTATGCCACGTATTTGCATTTATACATCACTTCGAGCCCCTCCGCAGTGCTCTCTGACACAACCCATTCTCCATATGACATAGCCCATGCTCCACACAAAACAGTCCATGCTGCACATGACACAGCCCACACAACACAGTCCATGCTCCACACGACACAGTCCACACGACACAGTCCTTGCTCCACAAGACACAGTCTATGCACCACATGACATAGTCCACACGACACAGTCCATGCTCCACACGACACAGTCCACACGACACAGTCCTTGCTCCACAAGACACAGTCTATGCACCACATGACATAGTCCACACGACACAGTCCATGCTCCACACGACACAGTCCACACGACACAGCCGATGCTCCACACGACACAATCCATGCTCCATACTCACTGGCCGCCTCTTCACCCACAGCCCTGGTGTCTGAAGCCCCACAGAGGGAGTCAGAGCCCTAACTCACTCTCTGCAGAAGCCTGTGGAGATCTCACGCTCAGGAAATGGCTTGCGTGGAGAGCGGGACCAGGCTGGCCTCATGATCCCCCTTCCCAGAGAGCCCGTGAGGACAGGCCACACTCGCCTGTGCTGTGGGAAGCCAAGAGCTCAGCAGCGTATGGCCTCGTCATGGAGCCGCAGATCATAAGAGAAGCTTCCACCAGGCCGCGGCTGTGGATAGGTGCTGTGGGGTCAGCTCCGCCCATAGCGACCCGTCCTGCCCAGTCCTCCCCATCTCTGACAAGCAGTGTTACAGTCACCTTGCCAATGTGTCTGGTTGGAGGGCTTCCTCTCCTTAGGGACTCGGCCGCTCCAGAGGATGTTAGGATTAGAACCAAGGAGATAGAAGGAGCAGAGGTTTGTGCTTGGAAAGTGGAGCCATCAGAACCAGGGAGCCCATATTGACAGTGTGGAGTTAGTGCTTGGGGTGTATGACTGATGCCGGAGAACGGGACCAGAACGAGCATCACCCCCTAAACTGTGAACTCACCATGGCATCGTCTCATTGGCTCAGGCCCCCAAGGCTTGCCCAGACGACGAGGTCTAATACAACCTCACTTCACTGGCACAGCCTCCTTCTTCGCTTTCAAGGAGGAGGGTCCCTCCATTTCTCCTAGATGTCACTTTATAATAAGTCTGTTCTTAATTTTACCTTTTAAAAAACCAACCAACCAAACAAGCCTAACAACAGAAAGGGGGAACAAATGGACTAGAGCGAAACAGGTTTCAGATTCTATCGGTCTGTTGATTACTGTCTGGTCACAGCCAGGGGCCCAATATTCCTTTAAGCCTCGGTTTCCTCATTTACAAATCAGGGGAAAATACAAATGACACAGGTGCTGGGCGGTGTGGATGGAGGACGCACTCACAGTGCTCAGAGCCCCTGCTGTTACAGGTGCCCGGAAGGGTGGAGTCTTACCTCCTCATGTACCACACACGGGCAGGCGACCTCCCTCCCAGCTCTACTGAACCAGAGTGAAAAAGGGAGGAAGTCTGAGAAGTTCTTGAATTTTACAAATGAAGACTCAGGAAATGTATGCTTTCTCCACAGTAACACATATTTCAATAAGAAGCAAAGCCAGGCTTTCCTTCTCTGAGGCCAGGAGCCCTGGTGTTGGTGGGGTTAAACCTTCACCTCTAACTGCAAGGCTAGCAGTTCAAATCCACCCAGTGGCCCAGCCAAAGAAAGAGCCCCCTGTCTGCTCCTGTGAGAACTCGGCTTAGGAAGCCACCGGCAGGCCTAGGCTGTCCCTGAATTAGCTGTGTTGGAACAGACTTGGCTCACCTAAAACCCAGCACCCCAAGTGAACTGCTGTCTTTCTCTAATTCTGAAATTATAGCTAGAGAAGAACTGGCAGTCCTGGTCCATCCGCACAGGCCTTTGAAGCTTTATCAGCACACATTCCAGACTCCTCGGTCCTCAGCCCACAGCTTGGCTGTGAAGGCCTCACATTCTTGCCTATTGGAGTAATGGCTTCAAGCTTATCTCAACTACAGTGCTCTCCTGCCTCTTAGACGGTCTCAGTAATCGCTTCTTTTCAGCACAGTGTGGAGTGCACGCTCTGCTTTGTCTGACTGCCACAGGCTGTCTCACGCCTGCTCTCGTAAAGACTAGATGGTACTAAAAGAGTTTGGGGGGGTAACAGTTGCAAGGAGGCATTTCATATGAAGCAGGAAATCAACATGGAAGGTTGAGGCTCATAGACAGGAGATGACACACTGTCAAGTGCGGGGAGACCACGCAGGGGGCTCGACAGAGCAGCTCCTGGTCAGTGATGGTCAGACTCTTACCTTGTCGCTCCCACTGGGTCTATTAAAGTGTGTGTTTCAGTTTAAAAGGACGTTTTAGAGATGGTTCCTTACGTACTATCAGTGATCACTTTCTCTCTTAAATTTCCTTCGTCCATTACTGAATGCCGGTTGAGACCCCTGACTAATACTCTTTGGGGAGGGTGGTGATAATGGAAGTGAGTGGGAAAGTCTCTGAAGGACCCAGCTCTAGACAAGGGCTCCCTACATTCACAGAAAATCGATTCCTGACAGACACTACAGAGCGAGGGCTTTTCTGCGCTTCAGCTTTCTTGCCTGGCCAACTCTGGAAAGGGCTGAAGCCATGGTTGGCAAGATTGGGAAAGGGCCTGGTTATCCACTCTGATTCAATAGAGCTGGGAGGGAGGTCGCCTGCCTGGAGACGTGTGTGGAACATGAAGAGGTAAGACTCCACCCTTCCGGGCACCTGTAACGTCAGGGAGCTGGAGGGAACACGAGTCAGGGCTCATCATCTGTGCCCCCTTCTCTCCGGGCAGGCGAGCAGCGGGCAGCAGGCTGGGAAAGGGGAGTAGCCATGGAAGAACTGTCAAGTGTCAAGGGTTACACTAGAAGGACACTTTAACCACCAACACGAGGTTCATGTCTTTCCTGAAGTGACCGGGGGCAAGGGACGAGCCAGCCCCCACGAGTAAGTGAAAGGTCGCTGGTAGACAGACAGGAAGTGACTCCATAGTCACATCGTAGCTGTCATGTTTTTCAAGGTCAATCATATTTCACAGATGAGCTAAAGTTAATAAAGTTAATCTTCCCCGTGACAAAATGGTGACAGATCAGTGATTATAGTCAAGTGTCTCAGAGCTGCCTCTCCTCAACCTTGTGACTTTCTCCATTGTGCAAATGTACCACTTTCTTGTTGGCAGGAATCAGGTTTAATGTTTACTAGGGGCAGATGTGGGAACAATGCTGGTGGCTTAGCGATAAGGAGCTGCATTGCCAACCAAAAGGCACACGGTTTGAATCCCCGAGCTGCTTCACAGGAAGAGGATGGACTGTCCTCCTGTGTGACGTGCAGCCTCTGAGAACCCAATGGAGGGTCAGCTGTGGGTGGGCTCTGACTCAACGGCTCATAACAACAGCAGCAGAGGCAGCAGAGATGGAGTGCCCCAGGCAATGCAGAGGGCACCTTGACGGAGACAGAGCAAGTCAGCTCTTCTTCAAGACAGTTTACATCCATCTGTTGGAAAAAATGTCCGCGGGTGCTCATTTTTCAGTGAAATACTTCACTGGGCTCTTACGGCAAGGTTTCATATGAAAGATGTAAAGCTCTAGAATGTTCCCTATGTACTTATGTCACAGCACTCAGCTTAGGCCCCGCTGCCCGGCAAGCAATGCATCAGCTGCTTCCTTTTACTGTTCTGCGGCCTCTGAAGCCCCCCAGCCGGGACCGGCCCTCCCCTGACGCCTTGTGAAATGGTAGCTGCTCGTTCACAGACCAGCTGTCAAACACCCTGACCCTCAACACTCAGATTGTGAAAGAAAATGCTTAATAGCTGTGAACATTTGAATTGGAAGCCCAGAGGGCACATTCCAAGCCTATCCCTGCCCATCCCTGAGGCTGGAAATCAGGGACATGTAAGGGAGATGGGGGAGGCTGTCCAAGGATCCCTGGGACATGTGAGGGAGATGGGGAGGCTGGGTAAGCCTTCCACCCCCAGGATACTCACTGCTCTCTCCCCCCGAAGTGCAGATGTTGCGGACGATCCTTTTCTTGACCTTCTTGAGCTCATCGAAGTTGTCCACTGTCAACTTTTTGTCAGCTGTCCCAGTGATCTGGATGAGCTCCTGGTGGTCCACGTCCCCGATGCCCACCGAGTAGATGTCGATGCCTTTGTGCCGCAGGTCCTCGGCAGCCGGGGCCACCTCATCCTGGGACCGCCCGTCGGTGAGGACCAGCAGCACCTGGGGTGTCCCTGTGTTGATCCGACTTCCCATGTCCGCCTGGAAGTAGTGAGCCACCTTCCGCAGGGCATCGCCAATGTGGGTGTACCCGAAGACCTGCTGGATGCTCTCAATCTGAGCCGAAATCCTGTCCCCCGTGAAAGACCCCAGCGGGAACTCGGCCCGGTAGGTGTCACTAAACTGGGCCACTCCTATCCGCACCCTGTTGAGGCTGACATCGAAGTCCTGAACAACAGAGGCCAAAAATTCCTTCATCTTCTTGAAGTCAGCTGGTTGGATGCTGTTGGAACCGTCCATGAGGAAAACAAGATCTACCTTTTCAATTTCACATTCTGCAAAGAAGAGGTGAAGAAATAGAGGCACAATGTTAGTCTTCAGATCATCGCAAAGAAACGTGATGCCTGCGACTACATAGAAATGCTAGTCCTGCAAAGGGCTTCAGATCTTATTCTACACCATGGTCACATTCACAAGAGAGAAAATAAAAACAAGTGACCAGTTCGCGAGGGCTGGGGCCGGCGTGAACAACTCACACACCTCGCTTGGTGACGTAGTCTTGTGGTTGTTGTTGATTGCCTTTGAGTCGAGCACGACTCATAGCAACCCTGTGAACACAAGGCCTGAAGGCCCTCTGCAACTATGGACATTTATCAAAGTTCATAGAGTTTCTGGAGGCATGTTATTTAGGAAGTGGATACCACTCCTGCTTCCAAACCTGTCATAGTATGTCCTGTTTCATTTCCCCCAGAACTGGGGAGGTTGCTGCAGAAAACTTTTGTCACCTACAATCAAGATTTATCCTTTCTAGAAAGCCAAGTGTCAGGAGTAGCACAAGAGGAGGGGGAAAAAAAAACAAAAACAAAAACAAAAACCCGAAAACCCCAAACAAACCAAATCCCATAATAACAACACCACATCCATTTGGAGATTCAAATGAAGAGCTAGATGGTTTCTATCAGTGATCTGACCTCCCTAGCTTGTTGCACTACGAAACAGTTTTCTGGTTTATCAGGGCACATTTAATGGCCTGTATCTGGTTAGCTCTCCTCTTGATTCACCTCTTTTTGGGTCCATAGAACAGCATCTACTTGAGGGAAATATTTTGGGATAAACATAGCAATCTTGTTTAGAAAAGGCTTCCTTGCATTATCAGCACAGTGAACTCAAAACAAAAAAAGAACAAGAGCATTGCTGCTGAATGAGTTATGCTTGGCATGCAAGCCATGTGTGTCCCTCAGCCTTCTGGAAACTATTAGCATCTTCTTGTATTTTGCTGGGATCCTACCTCTGACCCAAGTTAATTCTCATTTCAGCCACAAGAAAGATTAAAGGTGACTGACATCTTGAAGTAGAGATAACTAAGAATGAGATAAAAAGTAATACAGCAAATAGATCCTACAGGAATTGTTTAACTCATTAAAACCATTCTCTTTCAGATTCAAATAAAATAAATAAAATATTATTTGCTTTTCTGCCTACAGGAAAACATCAATGTCAACATTTCCAATGCACTGTTGAAGGACCGTTCAGATTTGAGATTTGAGAAGGGCAGATTAAATTGTAGGCACATTAATTGTAGCCACAAGGAAATACATAATTGTCTCAATTTCCAATAAGACTCAGATTTTGCTAGTTTTATGAAAGAAAAAAAAAAACACAACACAAAACAAGCCAGTAGATGAAATCTTATGAATCAAAAGAGATGAAAATCAGAAAAAGTAGATCAACCATTTAGAGAAGACTTGCACCAAGATGTTGGAATCCTGGAGCAACAATTCACTGGATAAAATGGCACTCTTAGTAATAAACATTTTGGCAAAGATGCGAAGGACGTTATGGTTGTTTGTTGTGGTTGACTGTGGCTCATGGCAACACCACATGACCAGGGTAGAACTTGGGCTTTCCAGGCTGTGACCTTTCAGATATAGAACCCCAGCCTGCCCCAAAGTGGGCTTGAACTGCCAACCTTTTGAGTAGAAGTCCATCACTTAACTCATAGCACCACCCAAGGGCTCCAAGAAATTTTGGCAGACCATAATTTTATCTTGAATCAAGAGGGCACAATGGATGCAAACAAATAAACAAATGGGCAATAAAATCTTGAGCTTCCAGAATAGAGACACAGCAGCCAGGCGAAGCTCAAGGAGCCATGGTGATACCTGGGGTTAAGCATTGGGGTGCCACCAACCACTTTAGGGAAAGTCGAGGACCTGTGAAGATGCCTGGGGAACCCGGGGCAGCTGAGAACCTGGGGAACCTGGGAACAGCTGAGCACTTGGGGAACCTGGGGCAGCTGAGCACCTGGGGAACCTGGGAACAGCTGAGCACCTGGGGAACCCGGGACAGCTGACTGTGCTGCAGGGTTGCTATATTGGATCCCCTCTGAGGCAGTGGGCTTGGATTTGGTTATCTGAAGAAAAGGATGTCTGCCATGGAAACAGATGGGCTGCAGTTGATAATTTAACACTGGGCTTCACCTCTAAAAAGGGCTTTTCCCATGGAGTAAGCCCTGGTGGCCAGGTCTGTGGGGTATTGTACTGTTAACCCAATAGTGGGGCCTCTGGTGGTTCGGATCCACCAGTGGCCCCAAGGGAGAAAGATGGGAAATTTATCGCCTCTGAAAACCTGCTGCAAGGTCGGCTCCGAGTTAGTTCCTACTCAACAATGAGTTCGGGAGTTCTGATTTTGCAGTGGTAGAAAGAGGCACAGGAACTGGGGCCTTCTCACCTGGAGGAAGGACTTCCAGCACTGATGATGTTGCTTCTTTGACAAGATGGAGTTTGACCTCTTGTGCAAATGACAGGAAGGGGATCCCATGAGTGGAAATGACACTCAAGGGAATGTGCGTTCCAGCAAACCTGCTTGATGGCCAGCTGCCACCATCGAGCGAGGCAGGGGTGAGGAGGAATGCTGGAAGAGGCATTCCTCTGTGGGGAAGAGGCCGGGTGAAAAGTCCGTGAGGTCGTCCCACCCCTGAAAGGCTGTGTCTGGCAAGCTCACCACACTGGCACCCTCTCTGCTCCCTGGAGAACTGGCTCCCCAGGGCTGGGGGCCCTCTGACCCTCGGCTAGCTCCTCGAGAAACTTACCTACTTTTGAAGAGTTACAGACACTGGCAGACACGTCTGAAAAGATCCCCTTCAGGCCTCCGAAGGTCTCCACGAAGTAGTACTTGTCACTGGAGCCCGCCATGGCCAGCAGCTCCTCCTGGTTGGCACCAGCGATGCCCACTGCCAGGACGAGAATGCCCTTGTCTCGCAAGGCCTTCGCTGTGGCGTTGAGTTTGACTGAGTCATGGGACTCCCCATCGGTGATCACAATGAGGACCTGGGGGACCCCCTTTTGCAGACGGCTGCCCCGGGCCTCGGTGAACATGTGGTCTGAGAAGCTCAGGGCCTCAGCGGTGTACGTGTTGCCCCCCAGGGGCTGGTCATTCTGAAGCACGGTGATCACCTCCCCCTTGGTGCTGAGGTCACCGAGGTAAAACAGCACCTCGGGGTCATCTGCGTACTTGAGGGCGCCAAACCTGACCCGATTCTTGCCCACGTCGGCCTTTTTCACCAGGCTGATCATAAAGTCTTTCATGATGTTGTACTCGTCATGGTCAATGCTGCCGGAACTGTCGATCACGAACACAACATCTAACACTTCAATCCGCTTGCATTCTGCAGGAGGAAGAGAGAAGCAACTGCATGAAGTCAGCTTTGGAGATCATGGGAGATAGTTCTGGAACAAAGAAACTGTATTTGAAACCAGTCTAGGTGTTCAGAAAACTTATTACAGTGCAGCAAGCTCCCACATGTCTTCTCTCCCCTCAAACATAATTTCTATGGGAGTGTTACTCCTCCACCCACTTAAAAATAATTTCAGATGTTTCCTCTTCGCAAGACCATGTTCCCCACTAGAATGTCAGTCTATAAATGATCAAGACAAGAGACATCCATTTGTGCTGCCAATACCTAGCATCATTAATTAGGTGAGCTGGCCGGACCGGGCAGATATAAAGCAGAAGCTACTGGAAAAGGTGGGAAGGGACAGCTCATCGTAGAATCACCAAGAATAAAACCCCAAGACTTCTGGGGATTCCAATGTTTCTTTAGAGTTCTATGGAATTTTTCTGTGCAAATGATTTTTCAATGGTGCTTTCATTTGTGCAAAGAGTTCTGGTTTATTTTCAAGTCATGAGGGTCATGAGATTTTATTCTTAAGGAAGACCTGGGGGAAAAGGAAAGAAATGCATTTGGTAACGCTGTTTATTTTTCCATGGTTCTATGATGGCAACTTTTCAAGGCTACATTTTCTTTCCCTCATTTTAATTTTCTTAAGACATTGTTTATTTTCCTTATTGGACCTCATCATAGACATAAGCCTATTTCCCACTTGGTCCAACAAAGGTATCCTTGCATGATGCTCTTATTAACTTTCTTAATCTTGGGTCAAGGCCATGGAAAAGGAAAGCAGGAAAGACCCAATTAATATTTAAGCCATGTCCATCTGAAGGCCACAGTGTTCCAAATGCTAACTCATCTATTCTGGAGAAAAGGGATTAAGATGATTAATTATTCAGACCTTGAATCATTTATTCTTCAGGCCTTAGAAAGGTATATGCCAAATATAAACTCATCCATTCTTGAGAAAAGAATTCTAAGAAATTTTTGCATTACCCAGAGACTCATCAAACGTCCTTTCTCTTTCAGTCACTGGCCGATTATGTGGTCAGTAATCCAACCCATTGCCGTTGAGTTGGAATGAGCTCGTAGCTAACCCTCCAGCAGGTTTTCAGAGACTGTAAATGCCATGAGAAGAGATCCCATCTTTCTCCTGATAACGGTAGATGTGAGCCGCTTGCCTCTGAGGTGACAGCACACCTTCCCCATGTGGTGAGCTTCGCAGGAGGCAGAGCTGACCAAACCTCATAGACCACGGGCTGTTCCCACTACCTGGAGGCCAGCTGGACTGCAGCATAAACCAAATTCCTAAGCATTCCTGATTCCAGGAAGAGCAGAACGGTGCGTTGTTTTTTTGTTTTTTGTTTTGTTTTTTTTTGCCTTTGAATGTCTTGGAATGCCTGGCTGGACTACTCAGGGGGCTAGGGATAGACTGCAGTGTTGGGACCACTCTAAGAGTTCAAATGTGTTCTGGGCAGGATTGCCAGGGAAGAGAAATCAGACGTAATCCTCTTCCCTCAAAACACTAGCCAGGATCATGGTACTTTCTACCATGATTTACATACATCATTTGAATAACAGAACAATGTTTTCCTCTTTCTTAAAAGCTGGTAGGCCCCATCTCCCGTGCCTCTGCTCTCAGCCCCACGGGCCAGGAGAAGTCAGTCCCTCACATTTGCTGACCTGCCCCTTGGTCCCTCACTTTCCTTTCTCTGCAGGTTCTTGGGAAGATGAAGATAACACCCTTTGCTCCCTTTGAGGCATCCATTGTTCAAGTTCTTGTTCTGAATTCCTCCTTTATAGGATTAATGAATATCAAAGTGCTTCCCAAAACATTGTCTTAATTTACACGAGCATTCATATTAAAAAGGTAAAAATGTTTGTAGGGGCTGCGAGGCCAAATAAGAGCCACATTGGACAGGCATAGTGTCATTCTACCATCTACCTCAGAACCCACAGGTGGCCCAGAGTGAGGCTACAAAAGTGCATTTTGCCTCCACTTTGAGGTTTAGGCCACACTCTGGAATTTTCCATAGCCTGAAGCCAAACACTAATTAAGACCACCATTGCTCCACCCCTTGCCTTTTCTTGCTTCTTTCCTGCTCTCTCTCACTCACTTGTGGTAAATCAATCCCACAACAACTCAGAGCCACCTTCTGCTTCTAGGGAACTTAACCTCCGGCACTGGAGGGTTCATCACTCCAGGGTAATTTGTGTACAAGTGGAAAAGTCCAAGTGCACCTAGAGTCTTGACTATGATGGAGATCATGACAATGGAGCAGGCTAGGCAAGGTTCAGAGCTCTGAGACGGTAGTCAACTTGATGGAATCTAACAACAGAGTCCCACATTTTCCTTTCCCATTAACCCAACAGCTTATCTCATCAGTTCTAATTAGAAACATTGCATTTCCGAGACAGGTCAAAAGCTATTGTTAGTAGGTGCCATCAGCTCTACGACTCATGGTGACCTCATGAACCATAGACGTGAAGCCTGCCCTGCCCTACTTCTTCCTCACCACCTCTGATGTGCTCAAGCCCATTTTCACGGTCCCTGTGTCAGTTCATCTGGTGGAGGGTCTTCCTCTCTTTTGCTAGTCTTCCATGTCCCCCAGCAGGACGTTCCTCTCCAAGCTCTGGGCCCCCTGACAAAGATTCATCCTCTTTGCCCTTAAGGAACACCCTGGTTCCTCCAGGTACCAGTCCTGTTTGCTTTGTCAAAAGTGACTAGAATACTTTTTAAATTTAGAACATATTTTTGATTAATAAAAAATGTTTATAGTAGTCAAGCAACTGTCTACTAGTTCACAGAGTAATGAACTCCAGTGTCCCTGGTGTTTGGACAGTCCCGCCAGTGACCAAGCCCCTGCTTACCTTCTCGGGGGCTGCAGATTCCAAAAACAAGGTCATCTTCAATGTGTTGCAGAATGTCAAAGTTTTCAACATAGAAAACCATCTCTGGTCTCCCGCTGATCTCCTCGAGCTGGGTGACGTTGGAGCCAAACACCCCCACTGAGAAGATAATGATGCCTTCTTGCCGAAGTGCCAGTGCTGGGTCCTTTACTATGTCATGGGCTTCGCCGTCTGTGATGAGGATGAGGAACTTCTTGACGGTGGCCCGGGCCCCCTTGCTGGGGCTGAAGTATTGAGACACAAAGGTTAGGGCGCCGCCAGTCAAGGTGGTTTCTCCAATGTGGGCCATGCGGTCTATGGCATCTGAAATCTCATGCTGGGTCATGTATCTGTTGAGTGGAAACTCCTCCTGATTGATGTGGCTGAACTGGACCACACCAATCTGCACCCGATCTGGGCCGATCTGAGATTTGCTCACCAAGTTTTTCATAAATGTTTTCATTTTGCTGAAGTTTTCAAGTCCTATGCTGCCAGAACTGTCCACCAGAAACATGATGTCAGCTTTCATCTCCTTGCAGGCTGTGTGAGAGAAGCAGAGATGTTTGCTCAAATCAGCTACCTGGGGCACAAAGGACGATCCTCAACACAAACGACTGGAATTGTCTAGGAGTTATGTGCTTTGTTAGGATTACTGGCAAGAAAACAAAGCACCAAAAGCAATAAACGTGAGACTCCTAAATTTACTATCTGCTAGTGTTGTTGTTGTTGTTATGTGCCGTCGAGTCGCCTGCGACTCATAGCGACCCTATGTGCAATAGCCCTAAACTCCGCTCTGTCCTGTGCCAATCGCACCGTCTCTGACACTCCCATCCCAATTATCCCAGTCACTGAATCAATCCACCTCATAGAGGGCCTTCCTCTCCTGCGCTGTCCCTCCACCCTCCCAAGCAACCTGTTTTAATATACACCTCAGGGCTTTCCAACTTCAGCACTACTGACATTTAGTTCTAGATAATTCTCTGTCACCAGTACCTACTGGTGCATGTTATTGTTGTTAAGTGCCAGAGAGTAGTAGACTACCTACAGAGACCCTATGAATAAAAGTCTTGAACACAAAACTTTCATCTTTTTTTCTGGGAGATCCACAAAAACCAGGCCCAAAGGCCCAAAAGCCTTTTAAAATATGAGGCCAAATTCAATCAGTTCACACCCTGTTGCAAACAAGAACCACATGCTAGTCTCAAGGCCAAACCAGAAAACACACCTTCACAGAATCAGGCAATTCCATTCATCTTCCCAACTAGAAATAGCCCCAGACTGGTGGCCAAAAGCCTTTTAAAATCTGAGGCATAGTTGGTGGAATATTGTAGAATGCTAATCATCCCATGTCAGTAACATCTTCTCAGACACTTGGCCCTGGATATCGTACTATTTCTAGATAAATAATGTCTAAGGGAGAAAAATGCCCTTTGGTTGCAAACAGTCGGGACAACTCTAAAAGATTTCACAAAAACTGTAAAAATAACAACTTAAGTAAACAGAAAGTACTTCTCAACTCTGAAAATTATTTCATGGTATTGTGTATGCAGTATCTAATTATGCTTCCTAAGTCAACAGGAATCTGGAGAAAGATATCAATATTTATTTGGGAAACTCCCAAACATCAATATGGCCGACATGAGTCACCATTTCGTTCTGGAGAACAAATGCCATTCACGCAGGCCAAGAGATCCCAACATAGAAATGGACCTTCATTCTCCACACCCACAATGCCCAGTCTTGCTGTAATCGAGAGTGAGCCACCACTTGTCTTACCTTCCGGAGTGCAGATGTCTTGAACCACTTGGTTCCTGATGTCTTTCAAGGAGTCGAAGTCGTGCACGTAGTACACTCTCTTTTCCTCACCTGCCATCTCGTGCAGCTGCGTGTGGTTGGCCTCCTTGACTCCAATAGCATAAACACTGATGTGTTCTTCTCTCAGTTTGTTTGCTGGCTCCAGGACACTGTCATTGGACATTCCGCTGGTCAGGACAATAAGGTGACAGGGCACTTTGTTCCCTCGCTGTTTCTTGGCCTTTTGCAACAGCCCCAGAGTGAAGTTCAGAGCGGCACCCGTGTTTGCATTCCCACCCATTTGCCTAATGTTCTCGATGGCCTTCCCCAGGTCGTGCTTGTTAGTGTACTTGTTCACCCCAAACTCCAGGTCCCAGGTGTCTGCGTACTGCACTGCGCCAACCCGCACCTTGTGGCGGGCAATGTGGAACATGCCCACAATATCAGAAAGGAAAGTCTTCATTTCGTGAAAGTCGGTGGCCTGGGTATGGCCTGAGCCGTCAATGAGCAGATAGATGTCTGCTTCCTCTGTGTCCACACACCCTGAAATAGGACCAAAACAATGAGACTGGTGCATGGGTGTGTGTAAAGAAGAAATGGGTGCAGAAGGGAAGGAAAGCAAGTTAGAACCTCTCCACACAGAAAGACAGGAAGCTGTTCCTTGGCATCTCACTGCAGGCCTCAACCTCAGGAGGGCTAAATAAATGGCTCCTGCCACTTAATACTGTTTGGATAGTTCTCTGTCATGAATGAGGATAATTCTGGACACAATAACAAGATTAGAAAGAAAGTGAAAACACCTCCTAGCAGACACTTTTTTCATGAGGGAACAACTGCCAAGCAAAAAGTCAAGAGGTGTGGTGTGAAGTGAGAGGATGCTTAACTGAATGCTGCAGCTATGTCTGTTCTCCTAGTCCAATGACTGACCCGAGTGGTTTCAGGGGCTTTATGTAGCTAGGAGAATGAGATTGTTATAGTTCATGTGCTGCTATCAACATATCTGTCCAAGAATGTATCCAAATACTCACTATCTAAGAATGTTTTCAGATACCCACTGTTATGAGCAGTTTAAGTATAAGAAGATATAATAATTTGCTGTGAAACATACAGAAAAATATAAGTTTTCCATTATAAATTTGAGGTAAAACATATTGACTTAAGTTTAAGAATAAAAATATATTAGGAATTTGTTGTGTTATATGTTAGAAATAAGAGTAAGAAATATGTTAGGAAATAGCTATGTTATATGTTAGACATATGAATAAGAAATGCGTTAGGAATTTGATGCTATATATGTTAGAAAATATGTTAGGAATATTTGTGAAAAATATACTAAAGAGCGTGATATGCCGAAACAGGCCTTTAGTGGCTATAAGGCCCCACCGGCCTTACAGGTGTAAACCCCTGATGAGGGAATATGACTTATTATTGCCCGTGTTGCCTAGGAGATACAACTAGTATAGGACATGATTGGTCAAACTCATGTTATTTTGGAACTAATGTGATTGGTTGTACAACTTGTTTTGAAACTAATATGGTTGGTCAAACTCAAAGCTTTAAATATTGTTATTCATAATATTATTGGTTGACTAGAATATAATGTAATAACCAAAGTTTGAATGTTATTGGTTGAATACAATGTAACACCCCCAAAAGTATATAAACCCTCGGATCCCAACTAAAACATCACTTCTGCTGAAGATAATGAAGACCCAAAGGCTCTTTTCAGAGCCGAAGACTCTGGCCACACCAGTGACTATGAGCAGCTAACCCTGGCCACACTAGTGTCTGTGAACTGCTGAACTAGCCAAGGACCCCAACAGCACCAGAGGCCATGAGAGGCAAAAGAAGAAGATAAGTTGGGATTCCAGGGGTGAGTGTTCCCCACTATTAATGAATCAATATATTGAGATGAATTTATGAATTGCAATGTAGGTAAATTGTAATTAACTGTTTAAAGCTTGCTATCAATTAATGGATCACTATGTTGTGATGAATTTATCAATTGCAATGTAGATAAATTAATTTATAATTGCTATAAATTAATTAATGAATCAGTAAATTATAATTGGCTTTGTAATATGTCTATGAGTAATTAATTAAAGCTCAAGGCTCATGACAACCTACACACCCAAGAATACCTAGACTGTGTGGATCTGCATGAATTATACTAAAAATATACCAAAAATGCCTTACGGTTTTAGTCTCTTTGTAAACTCACAGAGGCTAGAATGGAACTACACAACACATTCATTTGGCTCCATCCAAATGATAGCCGGTTGTCATTGACTTGATCCTCACTCACAGCAGCCCTGTGGGGCAGAGCAGAAGTGTCCCACAGGCTTGGAAGATCTTTGCAGAAGCTGATGACCTCCCTTCCTCCCACAGAGAGGCATCTGGGGTCCATCCAGAGTGCTGACAGTCAGCAGTCACATCTTTCAGCACTGCACCGCCAGAATTCCTATCCAATCGTGTGTCTTACTTATGCTTTAAACAAGAATTTGTGGAAAAGGAAAGACAAGAAGGGGAAGGGGGGAAAACAGCAAAAAAAAGAAAAGAAAAGAAAGAACATGGAAAACAAAGAGAAGAGAAAAGGGAGGAAAATAACAAAATGTGGATCCTGGGGTATTTACAAGTAACAGTCATATTATTGCTACTCAGAACAGGAAGCCAAAAGGGCAATCCCTTCTCCCTCTCCCGACACCTCCATAGCTTTTATTCTCCTTCAAATTACACAGGGCATTGTTTTTGTTGTTCATTGCTGTCAAGTCAAGGACGACTCGTAGTGACCCTGTGAACAAAAGGCCTGAAGCCTTTCTATAACCTTCGTCATTTTTCCAGGTTCATAGAGTTTCCATAGGCATGTGGTTTAGGAAGTGGATGCCACTCCTGCTTCCAAGCCAGTCTTAAAATTGGGAGCTTCAGGGGAGCTCTGGTGGCCTAGTGGTAAGGAGCTGCAACTACAATCCCAGAGGCGCACGGTTCGAATCCACAAGATGCTCTGCCGGGGAAGGAGGGACAATCTCCTCCAGTACCAGTCAGATCTGATTTGACGGTACACTCACACAAAAATAATAAAATAAAAATTAAAAAAAAGAAATTGGGAACTCCACGAAGCACTGTCCACCATGGGCAGCCATTATGGCATTTGACCCCTAAAGGCACACAGTTCAGCTTCACAGCAAAACACCTCAGTATAGCAAATTGACAAAAAAAGTGTAAATTGACAGAAGAGTGCTGTACAACTTAGAAGAATGTTCCTCCAAAATGAAATAACAATAGCAACAGCTAGCATTTTCTTTATTTCTTCTCAAAGTCAACAAACACTGGTAGAAGCACACAGAATTCTTAGCACTATTAAAGTAAGCACCTTGCCAAAACCTTTTAACAGGATGTCACTATATTAGTATAAATAACATGCACAATAAAAAATAACCAGCAACCTGTCATCCCGACTAGAGAAAATGTTACTAGACTGGCTGCTAACTTAACTTTACAAATGGCTTTAAGAAGAATGTACCTTTCTGAGAACATGTATTGTTGTTGTTGTTGTTGTTGTTGTTGTTGTTATGTGCTGTCGAGTCATTTGCGACTCATAGTGACCCTATGTACAACAGCCCTAAACCCTGTTCTATCCTGCACCAAGTGTCCTGTTCTTCCCACACATATCACATTCCTTCACTCTTTCTTGTACACATAACACTTGAAAGACAAAAAGAGATGCACCAGGAGAAGAAACCCAAGCTAACAATCTTTATGTCAGCAGAGGCCTTACCGGATTTAAGGGTTTCTGTCCGTTCTGACAAGACAGAAACTGTGTGTGTTATCTGATTCCGCAGCTTCTTCAGAAACGTCTGGTTGTGGGCAGCCAGGTGGGAGAAGGTTTTCAGCTTGGAGACGTACTGCTCAGCGGGGTGAGAGGCTATTTTCTCCTGCTGGGTGTCACTGGCACCCTCGATGCCCATGGTGAAGATGGTGACACCCTCTCGCCGGAGGTTGGCTGCCGCCTTGGTGACATTATCCTCCGATTCTCGGTGCATCACCAGCACTGCGATCTGAGGCACCCCTTGGTTCTTCCGACTGCCATTTCGTGCACTGAAGACTTCCTTCTTGACCTTCCTCATGGCAGCCCCGGTGTAGGCCTCCCCAGTCATGGGAGAGAGGCCCTGGATGTGCTGGAGAACCTCTGATTTATTTATGCCCGCGCTCAGAGAGTTTATCACTTTCGTCTCATTGCTATAGGCCACCAGGCTAATCCTCATGCACTGCTCCTTTATATCCAGAGCGGAAATGCTCTCCTCCAGGAAATCTTTAAGGTGTTCCAAGTTCTCCAGGCTGCCATTGAAGGACACATCCAACAGGAACACAACATCAGCCACAGAAGGGCCTTGGCAACCTGGGGTGGGGGGGTGGGGAGAACAAGGGAACAAGTACAGCTTTAGTAGGAGGTTTCCAGCTGTGTGGCATTAGAAGTCAAGAAGAAAGAACACCCACCACAGCCTGGCTGTACACTTAGAAGGAGGGATGCACATTGAGTACGAAGGTGAGCTCAGAGGGACTAGGATGAAATTCCGGACCCTGCTGACCTTCTACCTCCAGTTTCCTCACCTTAAAGGCAAGCTATTAATAATAATAATTATCCTGTAGAGTTCCTATGAGGATTAAAGCAAATAATGTGCTGGCTTTACTTAATGAACCATACACTGTACTATCATCATAAAATGATTTAAAACAAGATGCTTCTGGCCAGATGGTGGACTAGGCATGTGACCACACAGACACTCTACAACCAAGACATCAGGAAACAAAGACAAGACACAGATGACAATCCCAGAACCATGGCCACATTGTGGGCCTTGCAATCAATGCTGTACAACAAAAAAGGGGTGGATGTTTGAATGAGAAAGCAATCTGCTTCATAAACGTTCATTCAAATCACAAGAAAAAAGAAAAGTAACCAAAGGAAATATTTTCAGTCATCACCACTGCCCTTATCAGTGGTTATAATGAAAATATTAGTAAAGGATGGCCACAGAATAGCAGTTATGTCTTCAATTATTTTGTTTTCCTATGGTAATAGTAATAAAGAATCATATTTTCAGAGCTTCTCATAAGGAAAACATGATTATCAATACCATCATTTTAGCTACTGCCGAGCCAGTTCTCCACGTTACAGAAAAGAACTGTTCCATTGGGTTTTCTTGTCTATCATGTTAATGGAAGCTGGTTTCTAGAACTTTCCTCAAAGGACTATCTTGTGATTTTAAAACACTAACCAGTTGAATGCAATCACCTAGGGATATATCTATGCATCATTAATGGGTTATTATACATTTAATTTAAGTCAAGTTGTTTCAACAAGGAACAGCATGCATTTTCTCTATAAATTATCTGAATTTACAATGTGGTACTTTTTACAAATTTTTGCTTGCTATTTCCTGCCTCTTGCTTGAATGACGATCATAGCTCTCAGCCATTCTTGGTAATAGTGCAAGCAAACAGCCTTGGACCATAGCGTGGAAGATAAACCCAGGAGACTAGTTTAGGACCAAGCAGCCAAACAGAGGCAGAATGGGGCTGTAGCTACATGGGACTGGGACTCAGAAGACCTGACCCCAGAGGACCTCAAGTTCCACCTGGCCCTGGCCCAGATGGCATGATCTCTAAGGAACTGTCACCATTTTCTCTCTGCAGAACAAGGGTTTAGACTACCCAATGTGGTCTCTAAGATTCTGTGATTAAATCATGTGGTTTCAGGAATAAAGAATTCCCTTAGAAACAAATGTACTTTTACTGTTTCAATTTGCTCACAATACAACTACATAGCAGCTTACAGCTCAGGGATTAGTTTTAAGATCAGAGGTAAGCTAGGTGACAGGGAGAGGGCGGCCCTGGGCTTTGAAAAGCCCGTGAATTGTACATAATGTGAATCAGTCATATGTGGAGCCCTGGGGCTGAGTTCACAGGGTTTCAGATGGTTCTTTGAATCGTATACACCGAGTGTTCTGAAAAGTCAGCCCACGGGAAGGATGTCCACCGAGCTGCAATTCTCTCCCCATGCTGAATGTTCAGAAGTGGTGTTTTGGTTTGGTTTGAGTTTTGTAGTGAGTGAGTGAGTGAGTGTGTATACCGTCAAACCGGATCTGACTGGTACAGGAAGAGATTGCCCCTCCTTCTCCAGCAGAGCATCTGGTGGATTCGAACCGCACACCTCTGGGATTGCAGTGCAGCTTCTTGCCACTCGGCCACCAGAGGTCCCTTCAGAAGTGTTTTGACATCAACCCTATAAATGTATCTAAGCCCACCTTCCATAGTGACACTGTCCCCGGCTCCTGCCTTGTATCGAGCCGCATCCTTGATGATCTGTGTCATGTTCTGGGAAAACGTGCTGAGGTCTCTGACCGTCCGCAGGTGGAAGTGAAACTGAGATGTGGCCATGGCCTTGAGGTTTTCCTCCGAAGCTCTCTGCAGCCCCACAGACACGATCCTCACCCCGTCCTTCTGCAGGGCCCTGGCCGCCTCTTCCACGTCATCCTCGGACTCAGCGGAAGCCAGGACCACCAAAATGGGGGGGAACTGCTTCTTGTCCCTCCCGTTTGTGGGTGCAGAGAAATAGGTCCTGTGAGCCTCTTGGAGAGCGTTTCCTACGCGCAGGGACCCTCCGAGGAACCCGAAGTTCTTCTTTAGGTGGTTGAGCATGGGGTTCTTGGCCTTGAAGGTGTCCAGCTGGAACTCACTGTGGAGCTTGTCGCTGTACTGGGCCACGGCCACGCGGTACTTGCTGGGCTCTATCGGGAGACTGTTGACCATCTTGTTGATGAACGATTTCACAAATGGGAAGGACTTAGCGCCCAGGTGATCCGAGCTGTCCACCAGAAATACAACGTCTGCGTACTCAGGGCCTGCAAGACCACAGGAAACACACAACATAATGCTTTAAGAGGTTTACGGCCTTAGTTAGCAACAACCATGAGAAGAAAGAAATGCACTTTTCTCTTTTAATTCTTATTCCTTTCCCAATGAACAGAAAGTACATATACTAGCTTAAGTTGTAGATTTCATAAACAAAAATAAAAAGAAATATCTCTATCTCAAGCCTATTCATTGACTATGACTATTTATTTGTACGTATCCCACAATTAAGTATAATTTTCACAAGGAATAAACGTGTAGGTAAATGGAAGGGAGCACTGGTCGCTTAGCCAAGAAACTGTGCTGCAAGACCAAAGGCCCTTGGTTCTAATCCAACAGTTGCTCCATGGGAGAAAGATGGGCAATCTCCTCCTGTGTGATTAAGCTGCAGTTTTTCTTTGTTTTTTTTTTCTTTTTTTCTTTCAGAATTTCATCTCAATTTAGATGAATCAGGATAGAAATTTTAATTGATAATGAAATTGCTCTGCATTTGTTTAAAAGGTAAAACTTTCAAAGACAGCCTGTCATTTTAACTCCTATTCAAACAATGTACCAGATGGTCTGACTGATTCAGAAACATTCATTTTTATTTTAAAGTGCCAATTTTAGTTTTTAAAAAGTGTTTAAAAATCATTAAAAAGAGTTTGTCTTAATCTATTTTAAAGCTGTTTATAATCCTTGATGATAAACCATAAAAATGAGCTTGTTAATGCCTCCTTTTGTAAAATGTCATGAAGCACAGAATTTCTTGGGTTAGAAAAAGGCATTGTCATTATAGCATCAATTATAATGCTATGTAATACAATATTCCCTTCTCTCAATGCTAGATTCAGAGCTACATACCTCAAAATCCATTTCTATAGAATCTGGGTAATCACTAGCTTCAGCCTTTTCCTGGTGGTCTGATTATTTGCACATTCACAATTCTTACTCTCTTGCATGAGAGAAATTTCTGGGTGAATGTCTGCATGTGTGTGTATGTATGGGTGTATTCGGGAAAACACAGTGTAACTGAGCAGATATTGGAAGGTCCAACAGCCATCAACTAGGAGTTCGGTCAAATCATTCAACTCCTCTCTGGGCCTCAGATTCTCAAATACTGCATGGTGCCACTGTTGTAAAACAGGACTGACCTCGGGTTTAGGGGGAGACTGAGAAAGATGGGTTCTGTAATGTATACTGCATTGAAACAGATGAGGGAGAAAACTGTTTAAAAGGGATATGTGATTAGGTATTTTTGTCATGACAGGAGTCCACAGCAAAGGCTGCATAGTGGAGTGGACCTGGGGAGGGATTGCAAAACAATTAAAGACTTTTTTTCTTTTACTTTTCCAAGAGGAGAGTGTACTAGGGGGAAGGGTTGTAGGAGAGAAAAGTGCAACAATGAATGAATGGAAATCTAAAGTCTCTGTAAATTTTCATTGAAATGAATAATAAAAAAATAAAATAAATTTTAAAAAAAAGAGGAACACCTTGAACATGATGGATTGATCTAGCGGCTGTAACATTGGACTTGAGCCTATCAGAGATGGTGAAGACGGCTCTGGACAGGGCAAGGCCCTGACCTGTTCATAAGGTCACTGTGCATTGTTGTCAACTTGAAGGCACCTAACAGCTTTGGCTAGAAAGTATCTAAGATATTTCTGAGGAGAGTCTGATTATCTGAAATAGTCACTAGATAAATCCCTGGCAAACAAAAATAGCATCAATCTTTTCCACAATTTCTAGGGAACATGAGTTGGCAACCCTGAGTGTTATTTCATTCTTTTTACAGCAGTCCAGTTGGGGCAAGTGGATAAGACAGAGTTTTTCTGTCTTCTAAACAACCAAATTTCAACCAGCTTGAGATTCCTTTGCTGTTCATACAACCAGCAACGTGTCAGGGGAAAGCAAAAGTGAGGGCAAACCAATTTTTTTTTCTCCGAAAGAAGGCTGGAAGAGTTCCCAAGCCAAGACAGTGCTACTTAGAACAACTTCCTTATTTGCCAACAAATCGTCACATTGGGAGTGACAGAAGGTAATGTAGATGGCTGGCAAATGCCGTGTACTAAGGCTGTCTGACCCTGAGTCATGACAGAGTAAAAGATACTTCCTCTCTTTTAAAAGCTTAACATCAGGCCCACTGTGACATCCTCAACTTAAATTATTGCCATTGAGTTGGAACCAACTCCTAGCTGACTCTCCAATGGGTTATTGTCGTTGTTGTTGTTATTGGTGACAACGATTCATAGAGACCTTATGAATGAAAGACCCGAGCACTGTTCATAGAGTTTCGGGAGGCAAGCCATGTGGAAGTGGATGTCACTCCTGCTTCCAAGCTTGTTTAATCTGGGAGCTCCACCAAACACCACGGGTAACCATTACTGCCTTTGACACATCAGTGTCACGGTGTTCAGCATCACAGCAACCACAAGTTACCTCTGTATGGCATGTGGACAGACCAGGGCTATACAACATAGAAGAATGTTTGACAAAAAACCAATTTGAACCAGGCCTGAGGGCCACGGATTAACAGATCCTGTAAATCACATGGGAAGAGATTGTCCATCTTTTTTCTGTGGAGCAGCTAGTGTGTTCGAACCACCTGCCTTTGGGTTGGCAGTGCAACTCCTTACCCACTAGGCCACCAGAGTCCAAATGAAGACATTTTCAAAGCAAAAGTCTAGTTCAGAAAACCGATTGCTCAGATCAAAGGCCTTGAGAAGCTGTAAAATCAAGTGAAAGGCCTCCTGGTCATGAACTGAAGAGAAGGAGGCACCTTGCCAATATTCTGACATAGAGAACTGACAAATAGAAAGTAGCTTGGAAATCTCTCCCAGACGAGTGTCCTTTCTTTACAATAAGCAGACAAGCAGCTTAAATTGGAGCAAACACTGGGCACCAAACCAAGGCATCATTTCAGCACAAACAAATTAGCAAGAGACATTCCACATTTTCCAGGACTGAGCTTAATAGTAACAGAATTTTCATGCAATCTCCCAGAGGCCCCAAAAGGGTTGAAATGGAGGATCAAACGGCATCTTTCATCTGTCTATTATTAGTAAAGACTATAGCCCAGAAACAAAAGGACTTCAAAGGAAGACAGGTGGTGTGATGTTAACAAGAAACTGAACTACCACGTCCCCACCACCAAACCCAGCAGAGCCGAGCATGAAATCTTTTGGCTCCTAACTAGGCCACATGTGCATATTCCCGATTTTCCACAATGAATTAAAAAAAAAAATTAATTCTATTACTTTTCCTTACCAGAATCTTGGTTCACAGAAACATGGAAACACAGTATTATGAGAAGCACAATCGGCAACATTTTCCTATTATGACCTGAAAAATCTCCAACTTGAAATCTGAAAAGGCAGAAACATAAACATCTGAAATTGTTATCGTCAATATTTGGAAACCCGAGCTTACTCATGTTAGCACGCAGAATTATATAGTACATTAAGGGCAACAGAGGAAAAGGAAATTCTGAGGGTTTGAGCCTGCTCATCTGTGAAGTGTCTTATAGAGAAGAGGACCCAACATTTATAATCATCAGAGCTTATACTTGTTCCCAGTCCCTGCATCAACATGAGAATGGAGGCATTCAGTGGTGGTTAACAAGAGACATTCTAATTCCAACAATACTGTGTTCTTATTAGTTCTTTGTACTCTGGTGTTACTCTCCTTTCACTCATTGCCAGAACAAGTCCAAATTCATGGCTGGAGCAGCATGTCAGCCCATTTCTTAATCTCTCCAGCATGAAAACATAGATATGTTTCATCTCTGAGTCATATTTAGCATTTCTAGATCTGATCAAAGGAGCCCTGGCAGTGTGGGAGATGAAACCTCTAGTTTTAGAGTTTCAAAATCTCCCAGCTGCTGTCTAGGGGGAAGACGTGGACATTCACCAGGGAAACTCTCAAGGGCTCAGCCTACACTGTCACATAGGGTTGCGACGGGTTGGAGTCAATACAACGGTATGAAACAATAAAATCTAATGGCAAATTCACTTGTCAATGTTTTTTCCTTTTTCTATAGCGAAGTATGGTCACTCTTTCTTTTCCTCAACCAGTAAGAAAGGTTATGAGTTGTTTGGTGTTTTTTTTTTTAATTCTGTAATTTGGTGTAAATCATTAAAAATAACAAAAAGCCACCAAAGAAATGGCCAAAACAATGACCTTGCATATACTATACGATGTCTGGCTGCTCAAAAGGACTCAATTTGAACCTTTTCCTGCCAACTACTCAGAAACCTTGGTCAATCTCCTGTGTGATTTACTGCTTCTGAATACCTGCTGGAGGGTCAGCTAAGAGTCAGTTCCTGCTTGGCAGTGTGTAACCCAACAATAACCCGGAAATAAATGAGCCATGGATTTTCAATTTTGCTACTTGGTCTAAAACCTTTTTAGTCACTTCTAAATGTTCATTTCATAGAATGAAGTATTAAAAGTATTAAAAGCTGTTATTTTAGTGAACAAGTTGGACTTACTCATTCACTCATTCATCTGTTGATTGGAAAGAAATTGACTCACATTCATAAACTAGTGTGTCTATAGCAGAAGCTGGAGGCCCCATCCGTGGGAGATGGACTGTACATGCAGAGGCCGCTCCTCGCTGGCCGTTTGAACCATCAGTACCTTGGGCGAAAGAAGGGCAGCTCCTCCTGTACAATTCATCGCCTTGGAAACGCACCAGTGGGGCAGCCATGAGCGGGTTTGGGTTCCACGGCAAGGAGTTCTGGGGGTGTATGTGTCCTGGCTAATTTCTACCCAAATCTATCTTTGCAGTGTTACAGATGGCGTTTCACTCTGCACCTAGCAGGTTCCAAGCAATGTTAAGATCTGCCTTCTTCAGAAGATGAGCACTTCCCGTGAGAAAAGCCAACCCCCTTCCCTCACCTATTCCGTCAGCCCTCTGACATTACGAAGTTTAGGACCAGGTTCTTCTGTTGTTGTTATGTGCCATTGAGTCAGGTTCTTCTAGTCCTTCATAAAAAGCCTACAAGTTATAAACTCAGACTGTTGTTGAACTTACTAGCCCCAGCCCAGTGAGAATGAATGAGCAGGGAAGGATTAAGAGGAATTTTTAGTTTAACCCTCTTGTTTTCTTTTTAATTTATTTAGAATGAACATTAACAAGACATAGTAGTTTTTAATTCAATCAGTCATACACATTTTGTTCTCTAACATTTAATAGAATTGATTAATGTAATTAATTACATGGCTGACCAACCCTTTTTTGTATATCGCCTTTTCCTTTACCTAATTTATCTATTAATTTTTATTCTCTTCTCATCCCTGGAAATCTATAAAAAATGATTCTGTGTGTAAACGCTTCCTTGGCCTTTTAAGAGTGGTCTTATACCATAATTGCCCTTTGGGGATTGATTTAAGTAACTCAGCACAATTTCCTCTATTTTAATTTTTTTATTGTGATTTTAACAAAAGTTTACAGAAAACTTGGATTTCGATTCACTCATTGTTGCACATTTTCCTCCCTACCCCCACCCCAGTTGACTTTTCTCTTTAAAAAATTAATACATCTTTGTACAATTTCCTTCCTTCCCCCCGCTCCAGTCCATTTTGCTATGCACTTCTTATTCTGGGCCGTTATCAAGCAAATAATTCCTAATCCTATATTCCTTTTAAACAATTTTTTTCTCTCATGTGTTCCAATGCAGTGTTCATTATTTATCCCCTCTTATCTTAGTTCCTCAACCCCCCCATGTCAGTCCTGTTTTTTAACAGTGGCATTATGCAGTATTTCTCCTTTTGTGATTGAGATCTTTCACTCAGCATAATGTCCTCCAGGCTCACCTATTTTGTATAATATTTTGTGTGCTCTTTTTAAAGTGCTGCATAGTATTCCATTATGTGACTATTGCATGTTTTTTCTATGTATTCAGTTGTTAATGGGCACTTGGGTTGCTTCCATCTCTTTGCTATTGTGAACAATACAGCAATACACGTGGGTGTGCATACATCTATTTGGAGAGAAGCTCTGGTTTCCTTAGGGCTTAATCATAAACCCACCGTGCTGTAAGGCAGTGCCATAAAGAAGCACAGCGAGCTCCTGAAGTGCACGTCCACTCTGCTGCGTGTGTGTGGGGAGGGTGGCTAGGATGGCCAGCAGCACTAAACTTCCACTGTGACCCTAATCATCTCCAACTTGGAATCTGAAAAGAATACAGACAGCTGAAATAATTGTGGTTATTAGTTTGGGATTGTCTTACCTTGAGTTCTCTAGAGGAGCAAAATCGGTGAAGAATATTACGTAAATATGTAGATTTACTTCAAGAAAATGCCTTATGCCATTGTGAAGACTGACAAGCCACAAATCCAGATGTCAGAAGGCAAGTTGATGATTTATACCAACTCACACTCTTCAGGGGCTGATAAACCCAAAGTCTGCAGGTCAAGTGGCAGCTTGAAGGATGGCTCTCATATGGCTTCAGGAGCTGAATAACCAAGGTGTGCAGGTCAGCAATGAGAGGTATGGAATATTGACAAAGAACTTGAGCTTTCCCAGAACATCCAGGATGCACAGTGTGGGTGGGCAAACTCAGGTACACACACACACACACACACACACACACATACTGGAAGCAGACCACACACTGGCTTTCATCTAACTGGCTTTTTATATTGTTGTTGTTGTTATGTGCCATCGAGTTGCTTGCGACTCATAGCGACCCTATGTACAAGAGCCCTAAATGCCGTTCTATCCTGTGCCAACTTCGCCATCTCAAACACACTCATTCCCACCACTCCAGTCACAGAATCGATCCATCTCATCGAAGGTCTTCCCCTCCTGTGCCGTCCCTCCACTCTCTCAAACATGATGTCCCTCCCAAGGACCAGTCCCTCCTTGCAGCATGCCCAAAGTATGTCAGATGAAGCTTCAGGATCCTTGACTCCAAGGAGCATTCTGGTTTCACCTTCTCCAGGACAAACCTGTTTTTCTCCTACCAGTCCATATTGGATTAAAAAACAAATAGAAAGTGATTACTGTCTTCAGTGATTGTCTGCCTAATCAGTGAAAACCACAGCTTCTCCAGGTTGACCTTACTCACCACAGTCCACCCCTTGTCATCTTGGTACCTATGTAAGATCCTTAGATATATGTTCTTACATGGTCTCTAGATAAAGGCAATCATGCACCCACACGATGCAGCCAAAATGTGTACAATTTAAAATGCACTCGTTCCATTTACCTATTATATTGTCCTTTACAATAAGTACTGGGATAAGAGAGGGGAGAAAACGAAAATGTGTGTGCACGTACACACACACACACACACACACACACACACACACACACACCCCAAACAAAGTAAAAAGACCCGCAGCATTGACAGTCCTGGTTTATGCACCTGAATGGTAGGCACCCAGGAACCAAGGCTCACAAACATCCGTGCACACACAGTGCAGGGGCAGACTGGACAAGGGATTTCTTCCTATATCCTGCATGCCATTCTGCTGCTACATATGACCAGGAGTTTCTGATCACCTGAAGGAGTATGAGGGGAGAATAAAGGAGGTATTTATTTGATCAGCACTAATTTTTAAAATTCATCTCATCTTAACAGAAGTGAGATTGAATACCTCTTGTTATAGAAACACTCTTAAAAGAGCCACTCTCTAGAATCTGAAATTTTCCTCTATTCATTCTAAACCAGGCAAGCCAAGACTAAGAAATATCTTTTGGAAATTATATGTTTCTCTTTAAAAAAACCCCACAAACACCCCAATCTGGATTTCTGTGAATGTTCTATCGAGAAGGTAGAATGTTTCCAATTTAAACTACAGCTGCAAAAGCAATGCAGCCACCCAACCCTTGGCTTCAAATTCAGAATATTTAGAATTTATGCAACATCTCTCATGAGGCATTTATGAACCACAGTTCCAGGGAGACTTCAGCTCCATACAAGCCAATTCATAATCCAGGCTAGGACCTCAAACATTCATAAAGGACTCCTAAGGGATATGAAAGAGCTACCAGCCAAGTATAGTGTCATTCCTTTCCTTTATAATGATGCATGCAGGGTACATAATTTCTCAATACTGATTTTCTGTTTCTTCAGTAAGTACAGTATGGTCAGCACAAAGAAACAATCTTGAATCTTTAACACAAATGGCTGTTTGCTTATTCGATCCCTAATCTTTCCATTTTTAATCTTTTTTCAAACCACTCAGCTTTTTAGAAGTTGAAGTAAAGAAAAGAAAGTATTTGAAGGAAGACTTAAGTTCATGTTAAAAGGTTGCAGAACAGAACTTTGGCAGACAGCAGGCACAGACACATATTAATGGACCCATGCAGGTAGGAAA